TTCATGTCATCGATGTTGATAAAATGTGAGTGATGATATACACACAGCTATCTGTTACGACTAGACTGAGAGACAAATGACCGAATGGTTTGAATACGGGCTGCAGGCGCAGAAGTTCATTGTGGTGCCCGATGACATGCGTGTGCCACTCGTCAGGCAGAGCGCTGCTCGGGCTCATTTGGCTGAATGTTAGGAACATGAGCAATTGACCATTGATGTGCACTGATCACAGATTGTTCCTTTGCTTCCGCAAAAATCGCAAGTGCACACCAAAAGACCACTCCGCAACCCGATACTGCCATCGGTTACTGCCTGCTGCTCCATCTCGAGTGTCCGCGTGGGCTCGAATCACGAAGTTTTTTTCTGCCAGCCGTCCGCGAGCAACATTAAATTCGGTCTCAACTCTGCGTTCAACGTGCACTCGTTTTCAGGGAGCGCTTTTCAATCCTGAAGGCCAGCTCATTTGGATTTGCGTGGCAGAGATAACCCGACGTAGCACAGGGCTTGTGTTATTTTAGTGACCATGTCGTCCAAGCGTTCAGTTCAAGGGCAAACTTTGTTGACAACTTCATATCAGTGATGCAGATTGATGCAGCTCTGGAGAAAGGTGAATGACTCGTAAAAAGTCCAAAATTTATTCGCGACTGAAAAGTCTAATTCCAGTTTGTTTCCTTTTCATCTTTAGACGCATTCTCCTCCTTCCCTCGATTGTTTGCCTACGCAAATTTCGAGCTCGTCAGGTGCACGATTAACAACAAAATGCGGTTTTGCTTGGTCAGTCGGACCAATAATGTACATCCACTTCAGTAATCATGATCCCAGATTTAACCGGGCGCTACATCCAGCTAATGGTGCATCTCCATCTATTCAATTCCATTGTTCATATGTAGAATTTGAAACCTGGTTCAGTTCAGGTAAGTAAGCGGCACCATGCTGCGGTTGGTTGGATTTACTTATATGTATGTTCACAGTTCTATATTGACTAGGTGATAGTGCCTTTCACAGAAGTGATTACAAACTACCTGTCTGAGCGAGAAACAGTATGATTACTCGATGAAGGGTCAATGATTTCAGTGCATCCAGTCAGCCATGATTGAAAACGTCCAGACGATAAATTTTACAGGCAAGCCATCTGATGGCCACAACGCTCCAAAACGGTTTCCTAATAGAGGCAGCTTGGTCTGTTCGACCGCGAAGTGTGCATTACTTTTTGGGAACCTATATAGACAGATACGACTGTTGAGTGTTGCTGTGCGCATATTTTTTTTAGAAATTTATGAACTTTTCCCCAATTTTAAGAACGGGATTGCAGGATAAAATGAGAAGCAGCCAATTGGAATAGAGACAAGATGACAGCGCCAATTTATAGTCACCAAATGATGTGGGAAATTTCATCACCTGGGTGAATAGGCTGTGACTGAGTTCCTGAGAATTTACAAGGCTTGATTTAGCTATTGGCTTTCGGTACCTAGATGCTGGCCGCCTGGTGTTCAAAAGCATTCGGTTTGCGCAGTTTCAACCATGATGTTGTGTGCAAACTGCGGCTTTGCAATTCCGCTGGAGGAAACGCGATCGATAACAAACACGTTGCTAGTCACCCTTAACTGCACCGTCTTAAGCTATATACTGTGGAGACTACGCATTCTTGATGGTCGCTCTATGACCATGTTACTCGGTGTTTTCACCTATTGAGGAATTTTACATCCACGTCCTTATGGATGCATTCGTCAGCTGAGGTTGCCGACAAATTTCAGGTTTCAATTTCAACTCATCACTTTCCCAAACGGTTTCCTATTTTATTCACACTCGGTGCAAGTTTGACCAGATGAGCGCATTTCACGATCACTCCAAAGTACACAGACAAAGCTCTGAGTATGATCTAGTAAGATAGGGCTCGATTGGCAACTTAGATAAGTCAAGGGTTTTTCTTTAGATAAAAAACATTCTCTATCAACTTGTGCGGACTGAAAGACTTTTAAACTTGATGTGCAGACAAGCGACTGCGGATACTTTTGGGTAGAAGTTAGTCACTCTATGAAATAACCAGGTGTAGTTAACTTTACTTTTGTGTTCAATCCTGAGTGTCCTCGATCATTTGAAGATGACTGGCTCCACAAGAATGTCGCTTAGCAGTTTGGAAATGCGACCAAGAACTTCCACGACTCAGTGCAGTAAAATAAAGTACATCATCTGATTTATACTTGTACTATTGCCTCGTTGAAAACGTAGTCAAGAGATGCCGTATCTACTTACGAATTGGCGCACCGTGTTGAAATAGATCTACCTGGGCTGCCAACGTTAGTATCCTCGGATAAACACAGCATTGTCTAAAGCGTTTTTCTTCTGTTTCATTGGAGCTTGTGCTTGTTC